CCCCCCACCCCTCCACTCCTCTCCCACCCCCCCCACCGCTCCACCCTCCCCATCTCCTTGGGTCCTTCTCCATACAGTATTTATCACTTGCTTCAGTTACTTCCTTTTTGGTCAAAATGATGAAACTTTTCTAACAACGAGTTGTCTTTTGACATTATCCCATGCCCATATTCTTGTTATGAGTAATCTTCTAGCTTTTATTAATCCAGTATTTTTTTTTTTATGGAGAGCTCCCTCTTTCTGCCTCTGTCCCCCCCACCTCTCTCTCTCTGGTCTCTCCCTCTGTCTGTCTGTCTGCTTTGGGCATGCTTCTCCACAACAGCAAAGAGTATCTTAATATGGTACATTGGGGGTCAATTTGTCCAACTGCCTCATTTAGAGAAAAGACCACTGAGATCCAGAGTGTGAGTTGCTCATGATTTCTTAACTAGTAATTACATGAAGATCACTCATTCATTAACTTAAAAATTTTTATTCCCCCCCCAAAGTCATGTATAATAATAAGAGTGTAAAATGGTAAATGCTGTTTCCTGCCTAGGAAGATAAATTTCTAGAAGTAGATAGAATGTACTGCTGGACAGCATTAGTGTATATTGCCATCAGAGATTTATTAACTGTTGAGTATCCAACATGTTTTTTAATGGAAGCAAGAAAAATATAATACCCAGTTCCAAAACATGGTAAAAATGATGCACAATGGGTGAAAATTCCACTTAGCATGTATTTTCTGGTTTGTATTTAACTAGATATTGCTTACCAATGTCCAAAAGAGAGATTATTCCTGTTTTATTCTAAAACTAATGATTTTTAAAATTTAATTTTAACTGCTGTTTTCATTAGGGAGTGATTATTTATTAAAGCACAGATTTTTCTCCACCTCATATATATATATATATTTTTAATTTTTATTTATATAATTTGATGCATCTGATGAAAGTTCAATAACTAATTTGCTAAGAACAGAAAGCATGAAAGGGTGGAACTAGCATTTAGACTGTCTCACCTTATGCTGGATGCTTATACGTAGTTTGTGAGGAACATGATTTGTCTAGATCTCTCCCCTCTAGCTTGAAGTTCTTAAAGATTTGAAGCTTTTTGCTTTGACTGCAATCTTCCAACATAGCCAATGTCCTACATTTGTTCCACTAAGGAAATAGCCTTTATTTGAGAGTTGTTTTGGGGATTAAATGAGAAAATGCAGGTGAAGTCCTTTTCAGATCTCATAACAAATAGTAATTGCCTTATACATGCTAGTTGTTATATTAATTCTTAGGTCATTGATCAATAGTGTCATATTTGCTTATACAAGGGTGAGAGTTCTTATTGAAAAACTGCCTTATACTGATTGTCTCATACTGACTTGGGGACAACTTAATGGATGAAGCAATCAAGCTCTCGTATAAAAAAAAATTAGGAGGTATGGCGTCTTCTCTTAAGATACTGCCATATCCTGGGGATATAATGTGGTGAATAGTTCTGAGAGGAGAAAAAAAGAAATTTGTAATGAGAAGAATTAAGGATAGGTTGATTTAAAAGTGCATTAAACTAGAGAAGCTGCAGGAAAGAATAAAGAATGAATTTAATGGGACAAAATGAGAGCAGGCTGTGTTTTTTCGTATCTCAGAATACCAGTTATGACTCAGTTTACATAATATACAGATATATTTGAAAAAATAAGCAGCAAACAGAAAAATTACAGAATACGTCAACTTAGAAGAAGATGAAGAACCTATGTTACCAAAATATTTACTTAAGGGTTAAAACAAAATTCTAATCTAAAATGAGGAACATCATTACTGACAAAATAAATCATGTTTTAAGGGTTTAAATGGTTGTTGCTTAATCACTTAAGTTACTCTTACTAATCTGTTGCTTTCTTCATAGAATATAGAGTATCTTAGAATAATTTTGGAGATAGCTATGAAATAAGAATAGAAAGAGCAAACATTCCATTAATTATTATTTAAAAAGTAAGTTATTATTTGGCCTGTGATTCTTTCCTGTTTTAAATATAAAGAATGGTATCTAAGTTTTAGTGCAAATACTGAAATAGTCCAGGTCATGAAAATATCAGATATCATATGTAATTATACCCCTCCAGTAATTATTTTTCAGTCAGTGAAAAATAATGAGCCTTTTAGACATTTACCCCTGAATTGAAATCTCTTTGTTATTTCTAAGTGTTCTGTACTGAAATAATCCAGAAAGATGACTTTCCTCTGTAATCATGAAGAGTAATTAATCAATGCTTTGTGATCTTTTACAAGATTTCCTTTATAATTAGTTTATTAAAATATGTTTTTATGTTTTATCATACTGTGTATCATATCTTTGTTTCTTTTAAGTGTCTCTGCCATTTTCCTGTATTATTAATACCCACTACTTTGTTTTTCTATGTATTCTACGTTGTAAAGACATGCTGAAAAGTATAAGAACAGTCCCTGACTTGGAATTCCATTTACTGTATGCCTCATTTTTTTGATCTGATACATGCTGAGAACAAAGCTTTGTCCTTTGGTCAGGAACAATATTCTCATTCCTTTTTAGTTACAGGATCATGTCTAAATTTCAGAGGAATAATATGGTGTCAAGACAACTTGAAATTTTGGCCTTCTTGTAATAACTTCTGTTTATTGTGTTTCTACTTTGAATTCATATGAAATGGGAATCATACTAGTTAATAAGTGAGGGTGTCAGAAGAGTAGTGTCTACTCTGGACAAGAAGTCCTGTTGTTCAGCATAGTTATATGAAAATATTCAATAATTCACCGTGTTCCTGCATCTATAAAAGCTTTTCTAAACTGTTAAAGGTGACATTTTTAAGTCACCATGTTTCTTTTCTGGGATGGGAGAGGGAGAAACACAAAAGGGCATGATTCTATAAGATCTTTGAAATGGCAGTTGTAGAATATTTCTTGTTACTGTCTGAAGAATCTCTAAGATTACACATTTTCTATTGATCACATTTATTTACAGTTAATATATTGATACAGTTTAAAATATTGGGAGATGAATGTCTTTTTAGTACAGTTAGTAAATATTAGGTCACTATTGTAAAAAGTGAGTGAGATAAAATTGAGGCAAAATCTACTCTGGTTTCAATTAATTCGAGAATTCCTTAATCCTTTCGAAATTTCTCAATAAAAGCTTAGAACTTTCACCACTTTAAGTACTTATTTGTAGGTCAGAGACCTTTCCTTTATCATGTCCTATAGACCCACAGCCATGTAAATCAAGTAGAATAATGATAATCATTCAGATTCCCAGAAACAGTCAGCTGTGCCAAGAGTAGGCACATGATGCAAGCCAGCCAACTGATTGCTTAATGGCCAGTGCCAGGCGTTGTCAGGCTTATACAGATTTGTTAAATCTGTATAAGAACAAGCCACATATCTTATCTGTATAAGCCACAAAGTCCTTTTGTCTTACTAAACAAAAGAATAAAAGATTCTTGTCAGTAGAAGATAGACAAAAGATGAGATTATTTTCAATGGAAGATCCAATAAACAGTATAAGATGACAGCTAGTTGCCTCGTGTTTAAGATGGATAAACAGAAAGAAGCTGTGATGAGAGAACTGAAGAGACTGAAAGACAAAGGGAGTGGTCCCAATTTCTGACTTTCTAGTTACAGAGCAGCTGCACTTGTTTTTCTGGTCTTATCTGTCCATGAAATTGTTTATAGTGTCCTTATAATTATCTTCTCCTTACATGAGCTACTTTGAGTGAATTTCTCTTTTTGGGAGGAAAAAAATGTTTGGGCTAGTGTGCCTTTATTTCTCAAAAACTGCCACTTCTGTTCCTATCACCTTCTGTTTTAGAAAGTTGTTGTTATGGTTAAAATGAGTCTGCTACATATCTTCCATTGAAAATTAAACAATCTGAGACTTAAGTCTATTCCTTTCATGTGCTAGGAATAGAGTATGAGTAAGTCAGGTGGTCCTGCAGATGAGTACATCTAGAGTGTCCTGGCTTTATTAGTGAAATTTGAAGAACGTCCATGCATTTATTTTTAGGTTTTCAAACTTAAATCCCTAGAGCTGGAGAGAAAATAATTCACTCAAAGGTTTGTATTACAAGAATTACACACTATTAAAAGGTTTAGAGCTTCAAATTTTGTAGCCATAAATTTATAACAACAATATTTTCCCATGTTTTGTTAACAGGATATTTTTACTCACCCGAATATTTTATAGGATACTATTTCTGGCAAATTTAAAAAATATATTTAAATTGAGGCATATATTAGTGAAATAATGGCTGAGGCATTTATCTTAGTAAATGTCACAAAACATATTTACTTAATAAAAGAGGAAGCTGAGATATAAAACTAGGGGTCATCTTCAGCCCCCCTGGCATATGAAGAAATAATGGCACCATGAACAGGCCATTATGAAAACTTTATATACAATCTCAGTGGATTAATATTAGTATGAAGCAATACAAGCACTGTATATTAGAGATTAGTCTTTTATCAACATATTTTTCTGCAATGGAGCAATGGAGTAGAAAGTATAGTATCTCCATTAAGTTACACATGGTATGTTATTAACATTCACCTTAGAAAACAAGAATTCAGTGTGCTTTTGCTAAACTTCAGAGACAGGAACAAATTAATGTTCAACTGTGATCAGTTAAGTCCAATGATGTCAGTGAAGGTATGAGCAAAGAATGACAAAAAGTCTTCAAGATGTGACAAGGCTACACTCACAATGTTATTACAATGAGTGAGGAGAAGAATCGGAAAAGTAAACCCAAACCTAATTGCATAAATTTGTGCAAAAATTCCCCAAGTATAATGAGGAGCTCTTGAAGAGTTTTTAATGAGGGATGGCATGATTAGATTTGTGTTAGAAGATCACATCAGCTGCTACTGATACAATTATTTGCAAAAAGGGCAGTGATGGAAGTTGGCAAACAATTAGGGGTTTGCAACCAGTGAAAATACAGGGAGAAGTGGACGGATTTATTAAGAACTACTACTTGCATACCTCTTGTGATATAGTAGATTTGAAGTCTGAGGGGGAAAGAAATGTGAATGATGCCTAGGGTTGTGATCTGTAAACCTGGGAGGATCATGAATGTGTCATTTACTCCACTGGAAAGGATTGAAGGAGCAAGAGGACACTGGGAGGGCATGAGAGAACATTATTTCAATTTCAGATCTGTTACATTTGAGGAGCATGAGAAATAGTCATTAAGATATCAAGTAAGCAGTTAGATATTAGGATCTGGATGTCAGAAAGGGGGTTCAGGCTGGAGATAGAAAATTAAGAAAAATGTTGTATTTAAAACTCCAACAATAAATAGGATAACATAGAAAAGATGACCTGGGATAGAGATCTGTGGAAAGCAAACCTTTCAGTGTTGGTAGAGAGGGAGGAGTTGCTCCATATGACTGGGGAGAGGCTAAGGAGAAAAGAAGGAAAACAAAAATGTAGTGACAAGAATTCAAAAATAGAAAGTTTCAGGAAGGTAAAAATGGTGAACTGGACCAAATTCTTTTGATAGGTCAGGCAAATTGAAGACTGAAATTTAGCCAATACATTTGGCATCATGAAACTTACATGTAACCTTAGAGAGAGGTAAGTAGCTTTAATAAAGGGGATAAGAGCTGAATGTGAATGAGTGGAAGAAGGTAAGGTGGTGGAGGCCATCAAGATTCCCTTTAGAAATATGGCTGTCTGAGAAGCAGCTGGAGATACGGTGTCAAGGAAAGGCCTTTACTTTCATTATTGCTTTATGATCAGTGTCACCGCACCAATTTAATTGTTCTCAAAAGCTGATGGCATCACACCAAAGGGGGATTTTCTGCTATAAAAACTTTTAGAGAAGAGCTCCATGAATTCCATTAGTAATACATTTTAATATGTCAATTTTCTTATGTGTTTAAGGATTTTTGTCTCTCTCTTTTTTTAATTCCTTCTTGCATATTTCTGGAGCTCTTCCTTCTCGTCTTTCCATTCCTCTCCTCTTTCCTTTTTTCCCTTTTTTGTTTTTTAGTATTGATCTTAATGGAGAATAAATAGCTGATACTTGTGTCTGTGAAAACATTGGTACAGTGTTAAATTATTCCTTAGCTTTACTTTCTATATATCATCCCTTCCTTTTTTATCCAAATTGGAATCCATTCATTTTCATTAAAATCCTGTCTGCATTTGCTTTGACTCCTTGATCCATCTATTTTACTGTCGCAACTACTTGATAAAGCTTTACCCCTGAATAAGTCTTTCTACCTCTATTCTTCCTGTCTCAATCCAAGAGACTGACTATTGCTAGATAAAAACACATTCAAACAGGTTGATAATATAAATTCAGGCAATTCTTGTTACACGTTGTTTCATACAAGATTTTTCTTAAATTTTTTTTTTTTTTTTTGAAATGGAATCTCGCTCTTGTTACCCAGCCTGGGGTACAATGGTACAATCTTGGCTCACTGCAACCTCTGCTTCCTGAGTTCAAGCAGTTCTCCTGCCTCAGCCTCCCGAATAGCTGGGAATACAGGTGCCTGCCAACACACCCAGCTAATTTTTGTATTTTCAGTAGTGGAGATGGGATTTCGCCATTTTGGCCAGGCTGGTCTCAGACTCCTGACCTCAGGTGATCTGCCTGTCTCGGCCTCCCAAAGTGCAGATTTTTTCTGTCATGTCAGATTGCTATAATCTTATATGTTTTCTATATTCTGATGGGCAAAAACTGTATCCTTTGCTACCTAAGACTGTAGCCACTAGACATGTGGCTGTTGAGAATTTAAAATATGTCTGGTTCAAATATGATGTGCTATAAATGTAAAATACACACCAGTTTTCAAAGACTTAGCACAAAAAATAGAATATAAAATCTCTAAAGAATTTTTATGTTAACTGCATGTTAAGACGATACTATTTTGAATTTATTTGGTGAAATAAAATTAGTATTATTATAATTTACTTTTTATTTATTGCAATATGTTTGTTAAAAACATTAAAACTACATATGTGTCTTGCATTTGTGATTTGAATTAAATTTTCTGTTGGATAGCAATGCTCTCAGCTTTCAGAAAAAAGTCAAATGAAATAAATTAGAGATATTATTTCTCTCTCATGGCATATTGTTGAATATATATTATCAGGTTACTCTCACAAGAATATGAGCAAAGTTTACAATTCCTCAAGCAGTTTACAGAGAACCTCTGTGTATTCACGCTCACCACACAAGGCATTTTCATAGTGATAGTTTGCCATTATTTTAATTAGCATTTGTTTCTTGAAATTCGGCCATTTTCATATATTTCTTTGGCATTTTGGTTTCTTGTGTGATACATATTCACATCATTTAGTCATGTTTCTCTTGTGCTTTTTGTCTTAAAAACTTGTGAGACCATATTGCATATTTAAAATTTAAACTTTGTTTTATGCATCACAAATATTTTTCTTAATTTATCACTTATTTGTTAAATAATTTTGATTGTAATATTTACTGCTGTTGAACATTTTTTAACACTCATTGTGTCAAATATACTTTTCTTTCATAGCTTCTGTTTCTTGTCTTGGCTGAAGACACCAGTGCATCCCTCTCGAAGTCCAGCCTCCTGTGTGTCTGCCTGCTAGGGTCTTGAGGGTCTTTTTAGGCACAGAATGAGGGTGTGGCAGGCCAGGGTGATCTTGGGAAATGCAATATTTGGGCAGGAAAATAATAATGCCTGTCCTTACCTAGGTCCATGGGCACAGGCCTGTGAGTAGAGCCCTAGGCAGGGAGCACACCCTCCTCTCACAGCACTTCCCTTCCTACTTTCTGTATCACTTAAAGGGACCACACCCTTCCCAGTACTTACCTCCTGTCTTAATGATTTTGATGATGATGGCATTTCTAATATCATCATACAGGTAAAAGAGTAATAGTTGATATAGTTCTGTGAATAAAGCTTCAGTGACATATTCAGAATTGCCTAAATGATGCCTGAAGTAATTTATTCTCTATAGGGTATAAATATATACAATGTATCACCTAGATCTGTGCAGGTCAACAGAAATAGAAAGTTTCCCTTCCACAAATTTCTGTTTTGGAGCAACATATGGGTAATTAGGAAGCATTTATAATTATGGAAAGAAAACAGGGGCAGCTTTTATATCTTTTATGAGGACTAGTCTGCTAAGAAGTTAGCAATTAGCCCACATTACATTTCTGCTTTCACTTAGGATGTGTTTTGTGTTTGTATGTGGTAATAATATCTTAGAATCATATTCTGATCTGTTGCAGAAATGATCTAATGGATGCTTCACTTAGCGGTTGTAGGACCTTATGTAACTTCATTACAAGACCTCTCTATACCTCATGTTTTTTCCTGTGGAAAGATGAAAAATAAAGATAGTACACTTGGAATAAAATTGGTGCTCTGTAATTGATAATTATGGCTGTTGCTGGGTGAGTAGGTGACTTGTCATGTGAGGCATTGCGAAAGTCAACTCATACTTTTCTTACATGATAGTTCCTGAAATATGTGAACACAGACTTCCAGGGCTTTATTCCTTTAATACTCTGTTGCCCAAACCATGTTCTGTAGCATATACTGTATGTTCTTTGGTAAAAAAAAAAATTCAGTGATGAAATATTCTGAATATGCATAGTAGAATATTTCAGTGTGTGAGAGATTTTGTAACTAACAATGTCTCTTCAGTTTCCTCTAACACATTGTTTCACAAATATTTATTTAACTGTCGGATGCACTGTTGTCTCAACATTGATAGAGAAATGTTTTTTTGAATAAATTTGTCTTCTCTGTTAAATGGCAACCAGTTCTTGAGAGAATGATTCTTTCAACCAGAAATTGATAGTACTGCTTTTAGTTATATTTTCTTTAGTATTATGCATACCATAGTGTAAATAAAGTTTTGATTAATTATTTGTGGCCATATTTTCATTGAGTGTGAGAGAGGAAAACTAATAGGAACAGAAAATCGAGGGACTATAGTAGGTAAAATGGCATTGGTAGACTGACTAGGCCATATGCAATTTGCTTGTTTCTTTAATTCCTTTATGATTAATTCCAGTTATTCAGTTGGGGTGAGTGAGGGTTGTGCTAGTGAAAATAAGAGGAAATGAGAAGGTGGTTATTAGGGAAAATAAAGTGTGTGTGAATGAAATGGAAGCAGGAAAGTACATAGAGAATTGTAAATACACTTGACTCTTGAAAACACCAGTTTGAACTTCATGGGCCTACTTATATGTGGATTTTTTTCAATAAGTATATTGGAAGTTCTTTGGATATTTGCTGCAATTTGTAAAAGCTTGCTGATGAACTGGATAGCCTAGAAATTTTTTTAAAAATAAGAAAAAGGTATGTCATGAATGTATAACATTATGTCAATACTAGCCTGTTTTGTTATTTACTACCTTAAAATATATACAAATATATGATAACAAGTTAACATCTATCAAAACTTAGTCACACAAACACTTACAGACCATACATGTTGTTATTCACATTTAAGAAGAATTTAAGCAAATATAAAGATGCAGTATTAAATCATAACTGTATTAAATTAACTGTAGCACATACTGTGCTGCTGTAATAATTTTA